TGGTGGACAGTTTAAGAAAAGAGACAAGGGTGTGGCATTTCCTTTTCTAGAAAGGATGTGGGGACATCGCTGAGCCCTCCCCAATTGGACGTGGCTTATGGTCCTACTTATCAGCAGGAGGAGGGAATGTATGACTTCTAAGGGGGGAAGGAAGGGCCCTGCCATGTTTGCCACAGACAAAGAAATGGAAGGTTTGTATCCTCTTTCTTAGTATCATCTAAGTGACAAGTTCCTGTGGAGCGACAAGAATTTCCACCTCCTAGAGAGATGGATGGAGGCTTGAGACACCTGCGTTATGGGGCAGGTGGAGAGAGAGCAGACCCCCAGCTCCTAGTTTCTTGCAGGGAATGCGGTGGCCTGCTGTGCCTCACCTCAGGGAGCTGGTCCCCATAGTAGACCGTGAGCTTCCCAAAGTCGCTCAGGTCACTGACCTCTCCATAGTTGTCCAGACTCAGGGCGTAGTTCCCCAGAGGCAGAGCTGCATGAGAATCGCCTTCCCCGCGGGGCTGCTCTTCTCGCCTCTTCCTCTCCTTCGGGAGAGAAGCTGTCCCTGCCTCCTGCTGCACCAGGGCCAGCAGACTCAGGAACGCCGGGAGCCTCATGGGTGTCCTGGGGGCAGGAATGGGGCTGAGTCACTTCAGCGTCCAGTCCTGGGGCATGGCAGGAGGAAGGGCAGCTGTCTGAGGGACAGGGCGCTTGAGAGCTCTGTGGGAATGGCTCACAAACTTCTCCCCCTTCCCACTCGATGCTTGCAGACTCCTGCCGTTCACCACACACACTCGCCCAGTGCCTTCATCCCCTCCCCCTAGCCTGGGGGAGTATGCCTAGGGGGTATCTCCCACCAGCCCCCTCCTGCCACTGCCCACCAGTCTCTTCCCATGCTCGCCCACCCGCTGATCTTCACTCAGGGGCACGTGCAGGCATCTGGCACCGGTGTGTTTACGCAACACAGACACACTCACAGAAGTCCCCATCTACCCGCCTCTCTACAAACTAGGCACACACTTGTGCACCCATACGATGTTCTCTCTTACACAACCACACACTCAGCATATGCTGGTAGTCATTCAACTAGATTTAGAGAAAGCTCAACGTCAGGGAGACTTGTGGATTTTTTTAAAAAAAATCATTCATTCATGCGTTTGCTCGGCAAACATTTATGGGGTGTCTGTTGAGTTCCAGGCACTGGACTTGTCTCTTGTACAGAAATGAATAAGGCACCACTCTTACCAGAAACACCTAGTCCATTTGGGAGACATGGACTTACCATTTGGCACAACATGTTAAAAAGAATGTCAGTTTATTAAACGTAGATGCAGCTTTTTAGAAACTGACGATTATAGAAATAGAGTTCTTTGTGTGTGGTTGTGGGAAGTTCCTGAGGTATCTGTACACGTGCGTGTGTGTGCCCAGGTTATTATGTGTGCATGCAATGTGCATGTGAGTACAAAGCTCCATCTAAGTTCATCCACATATGCACAGACGAGTCAGGCATGTGTGTGGTGTGGCTGCTGCAGTATCCATGTACCGGTGTGTACACAGTGCATGCCCGATAACGCAGCCCTCTCCAAAGCCAGCTGCACGAGTTTCCAGTAGATCCTTCTCCTTTCTTAATTTCATCTGGGCAAAGGGCAAGCCCCCAGCACCAGTAGCAAGAGGTATCTCTTCATCTTACTCCCATACCTTACCCCAAACCAAATTATGTAATTTTAAAACAATTCCCGAGACAGAGTTTGCTGCCCACCCAGAAGCCTCCTCCAACTTTTTTGGCCAGAGGCCTAAACCCTCTTCATTCCCCCTGCCCCACACCCCTAAGGCCTCAAACCTTGAACCTCACCTTTGGTTCCTGAACGGAGCTTCACAGCTTGCAGAGAGGTGGGGACTCTGATGGCAAGGCTGTCTGCTGTGGGGCCTGGGTTAGACAGCAGGAAGGGCCCAGGGACAGGGGAGGCGGTGGCCCAGCCAGGCGCATGACCAATCAGAATCCTTACTCTTCCTGATGTCCAGCTGTCGCCTCCTCTTTCCTCAGGGGGTCCCCTACGCCATTGCTTACTTGACAAAAGGGAATTCTCTCTCTCGCCCCACCCCCTCCGTCCCCCACCTCCCACTCTTTTCTCTTCTCTTATTTTGTCTGCTACTTCTCGCTTTTCCTGGCCCACTCTTCTGAAAAGGCCACATCTTGGAGGGGCAGGCAGTGCCCCGGATTCTGAACTGTCAGAGAAGGCTGGGGTGGGGCGATGTGGAGGCACGGAGCTTGCCTTTCTGGCTTTTTGCTCCAGCCAGGCAGTGATGAAGCCTCCGCTTCACAGCTGGAATCCTAAGATAAAAAGAGGCCGAGCTGACCACTTCAGCCAGCATCCCTATCCCCCACCCAGAGCCCCAACACAGGGATCCTAGTGGAATAAACTCATCAGAGGGAGAGTCCGAAGGCCTGGGTGGTTCAAAGAGGAGGTGAATGGGGGATGGGGCAGGGTTTGAAAGTTCATGGACGGTGATTGTGAGGAGGATCGAGGAAATTCTCTAAATCTGCTGGGAGGGAAGGAAATGGACAGGAGCAGGGGTTGGGTCCTAGAAAGGACTTCCTGACCATAAACACCCAAAAACATTGTGTGGGCTCCTTAGGGGGTTGGGAAGTGTCCCCTCAAAGATGTATTTATCAGGCTAGTTTCTTCTTTCCCAGGTGCCTCAGGAAGTCCATGGGGCACATCTTTGCTGAAACAGGGGCTGGGCTGGCTCAGACATCGTCCCAAGATTCTGCAGCTGCACCTGTCACTGCTAGGTTCCTCAGGGACGCTCCTTGCTTCCTACACGCTCACACCACCTAGACAGGAACCCCAGTTGCGAGGCCCCTAAAGATCACCTAGTTCAAACCCCATAGTGTATAGATGAGGAAACCGAGGCCCACAGAGGTGAGGTGATTTGCCCAAGGTCACGTAGAGCCAGGGCCAACACCTAGGTTTCTTTCCTCTCAGGCCAGGTTTTCCTTTGCTCTCTGGGACCTGAGAACAGATGGCCTTGGCAGGGCTCATCTCTGCCCTGGCACCCAGGTGACGGCCAGATCTAATTACCTGGCCCAAGAGGGGCAGTGTTTGGCCTGCAGTGTTCCAGGGCATCAGCTGGTGTGGAAGGGGGCTTCCCCCAACCCAAGGAACAGTCACCAGAGCATGTTCCTGTGCCCCTGGCAGCCCCCCATCTGGGGAGAGACACCAGCAGGGGCTCTGCTGGGTGGAGGGGGAGATAGCCCTGGAGCCAGGAGGGTGCCCAGGAAGCAGATGGCACACTTGGCGGGCCGTGCTCCTTCATTTTCTCTCCACAGCCCGGGCTTCGCAGCCGGGGCCCCCCGCCCCCACAGCCAGCCCACATGCATCTTCCCTCCCACCCATCCCCCACCCATTTGTTCCTGCGAGGAATGCACACATGACGGTTTGTTCATTCCCCCAGCGCCTGCTCGCACTCTCCATCCCCACTCTCTCGGTGACACACATCAGCCCTGCTGGGCCACGGTGCCCCCTGCCCTGCAATAGGACGTCTCCTGCGGGCTCACCAAACTCAGGGCCAGCCTCAGTACTGTGCGTGCACCTGCCCCCCTCCCCGCCCCTCCCTCTCACAGCCTAGACTCTCTCCCCACTTGGACTCTTGCTTTTGGAAGCTTGCAGGTCCCACACTCTCGTCCCCATGATTTCAGGAGTGTCCATGGATGTGTACGTGTGACCTGTGTGGGAAATGTTTAACTGCCATGCTGCTGGTCCAGGCAGCTCAGCTCCCTGAAAGCCTGGCATAGGGGCTGGAGGTGGGGGAGGTTTCCTAATCCTGATGTCTCATTAGGAGAGGCACAGGGCGTGTTGATGGAACGGAGGTGGCAGGCCGTGTGGACAGAAGTCTGGCCAGCTGACCCTGTTGCTTCCCCTTTCATGGCAGGGAGACAGGCAGGGGTGGAAGGTTCAGGAACCCTCCTGTTTTTCGGAGGACAGGGGTACAAACCCTGCTGAGCGTTTATAGACACATAACTCCATGACCGGAACATGACCCTCTTCTCTTTCTCAGACACACGTCCCCCACAGGGCCTTCCTACCTTTTTGTTCATGCTGTTTCCCGTCCGGTTATGTGCTTTTAAACCTTCTCCCACCTGGTAAAATCTGATTTATCCCTTATGATTTAGCTCCAATGATAGGAGCCTTTCTGGTTCTCCCAGGTGAAGGAGAAAGCTCTCTCCTCCGTTTGTGCACAGTGTTATTACAATACTTCAAGCACAGAAATCTCAATTTACAGATTTCCCCCCCTTTACCAGGTTATGAATTCCTTAAGGGCATGGGGTGTATATCACCCATCCTTAAGTTCATAGCTGGGAACCTGACATATGATCAATGCACACTGAACACTTGCTGAACTGAACCTGCAGGTGTTTAGCAGGCAGGGTGGGAGATGTGAGGGCATTATTTGGCAGTTTTCATCCTAAAGAAGGTGGTGCAGTCTGGGAGGAACTAGCCTTCCCTCCAGATATTCTGGGGTACCCTGTTCTTGCCTTTCCGTGAACTTCTGCATGGCCTGTAGATGGTTCCAGATGATTTGACCCTTTGTCCTCTGTGTTCAGTGTGGCTCTTCCAATACTTTGTGTCCATCACCCCAATTTGTCTGTGAGCTCGACTTGGTCAGGAAAGGCAATTGTTTTGATGTCTTTCTGTGTCTGCCTCAGTACTGAGCACTGGGAGACCCTCGATAATTTGGTGCCTGTGGGTCGAAAGAACCTAGGGCTCTGGGCTCCAAATGTAGCTGTCAGGTTTCTGGTCTGATTTTAGGAATAATTTTTCATGAGGGTTGTGAATTTGGGGGAAAGTCTTCAAGAAAAGGCTTTGGGATAGTTTTCCTGGGCATTTCTTAAGAATAAGATCTTTTCTCCACACACCTTCTCAGAGCAGGTAAGAAGAGGTGTGGGGCAGGGGGTGCGAGGCATGGCTTTAAGGTGTTATTCTTGACCTGTTCACATTCAAGTTCAAGCAGGGTATTTTTCGTACTACTTTATTTCCTCTGCTGTGAAGTGTGCTGAAATGTGAAAGTTGTTTCACAAAGTTAACACGGTCTTTGAGAGAACAGATATACGTACAGAGTACACATACATCCCTACTTACACACCTGTACATGTAGATGCTAACAGCTCTAAGGGAATGAACTTGTGTATGGAGGAGTGGCTTGCTTAAACCCAAGGGAAACCAGCACATTGTGTGTGTGTGTGTGTGTATGTAGCAGGGTGCCTGTAAATCTATTTTAACTCTAATTCCCTCTGATTTACAGCTGCAGAGAGCAAGGGAGGGAACAGACATATTCTAGAAGGGGCAATGGGTGATGGTGGTTGTGCTGCTGCAAACACAAAACAGTTCACACTTGCAGGATCAGGGGAATGACCAGCATAAGGGGAAAGCTCCTGGGAGCTACAGGAGCTGTGCTCCCCTCAGGCCTCGTCAAAGGGGCTGAGGTTGCGAGGTGTAAGGTGCAAAAAGGAGGGCTTGTCCAGGCCATAGCACCCGATTGCTTGCAGCCATAATAACATACTTCATATTGACTTTAAGCAGGGGCCTTAGAAAACCCAGCTGCAGCTAGGAGGAATGAGCAGGGGGGAAGGAGGCTATGATGAAATGGGCCCTATCATCCATAATTAGCAAAAGAGAAAGGTGAGACCAGGAATTTCTTAGAACTTAGGGATCCAGCTTAATTCAATTTCTTAAAAATCTCTGGAACTTTTCTCATCCTACCTTGAGGGTGGTCACTGTATCTTACTCATTTGTAGAATATCCACACCCCATACCAACATCACACTCAGGAGGCCGTGGAGGGGCAGCATCCCCTGGAGGAAGTCAGTGGAGGGCAAGAGGTGGAAGCAAGGCAGCCCCGTTGAGGTTTCCCTTGGAGACCTGCCAAGGCACTCATTTGGGTCAGGCAAGGAGGATGGGCAAGCCTCTGGGGGAGGGACGTCCACACAGGGAATAAATTACTGCAAGTGAAGGAGGTAATATTTAGGACTTGTTCTGCATTTGAATATTATTTAAAGTGCAGAGCTGCAGATTCGGAACATGAGACTGGAAGGACCTTGGAGGAGCATCTTATCCACCCCCTTGGTTTACAGATGTGAGAGCTGAGAGCAGAAGGGACCCCGTGAGGTCATCCAGCAAACAGGAGTAAACCGTGTCCTCAGCTGGGTTCACCAGGGTTTCCCATTCGTGCTCACCCATGGTGGGAATGAGCCCCAGCCTCTGGACCTTTGTGCCCTTTAGCCCCCAGAGGAGAGAGGAACCATGCACACCAGTGCCTCCTCCAAGTTGGTCGTTGGCTCCTTGGAAAACCACCCCAGGGAGAGGGTGAGACTGGAGCCAGCCATGACCTCCACCAGCCACCAGGTGTCACTGATGTGTCTGTCTGAGAGGCAGAGGCCAATCTGCGAACGCGCAGAGGCTTCTGGGAGATTTCCAGGCGCTCTGCCCTGTCTTCCCGGTTTCTCAGGGACTGCCCTCCCGGGGACTGGAAAGGACCGGGCCCTCCACGCTGATAGAGAACAGATGGCGGGGGCCGGGCCGGCGCCACTTGACCCTTCACTGTGAACACTGTGTTCCCTGGGGCCTCAGGCCCCTGTTGAGGTTGGGCAAGGGACCCATCCACTCCCACGTGGGCCCAGCCTGGGGCTCTGACCCCACCTCTCCAACTGGCTGCTTCCTAGTTCTTTGGGCCATGCTTCTCCTCCTTGGCTGTTCCTCTCTGAGCCCCAGCCTGCAGGGTGAGTGCCACGTGCACCCGGAGAAGAAGGAGGGACACCCAACTTGTCCCTGCCAGATGCAGGCCCTTGTGGGCATCCCGACCCTCCACCCCACCTCTTTCATTCCCTCCCTGCTGAATGTGGGCCAGCAGAGAGCCAGTCCAATGTCATGCTGGGGAACGGGGCTGTGGAGCAGCAGTTTTGGAAGAAGGGATCCTTGGCTGAGGAAACGGGTTTCTCAACCTCTTTGAGCCAGAGCTGCCCAAGTTGGAGGAGTCTCCAGCGGCACTTTCGAAACCTCACCTCTGGACTGCCCTGTCTTCTGCTTGCTTGGCCAGGACCAAGATGAGATGTCAGTCCTTGGCCCTGATTTACCCAGGAGTGACGGGTGGAGAAGAGAGAAGGGGCTATGAAGTCTTTAGACATACATCTGTGTTTCTGGAGGAAAGGGAGACCACAGAAGGCCAGAAGCTTGGGGGTGCAGTGGGTGTCTTTGAACTGGGTGGGCCCACATCAAGCCCTTGGAAGTCTTGCTCCAGAGGCTGCAGCAGAGTATACAGCTTTTCCCTGCCTCAGAAAGATGGAGTAAGAGAGGCAAAGCTGGAAGCAAGAAAGGGAGATAGAGAAAACGAAGGTGGGCACGGGCGCCTGGCCACCAGCCTTCAAGTGCAGTCAGAGGAGATCCAGCGGCAGAGTGAGGCCTACATGATGACGGNAGCCCCGTTGAGGTTTCCCTTGGAGACCTGCCAAGGCACTCATTTGGGTCAGGCAAGGAGGATGGGCAAGCCTCTGGGGGAGGGACGTCCACACAGGGAATAAATTACTGCAAGTGAAGGAGGTAATATTTAGGACTTGTTCTGCATTTGAATATTATTTAAAGTGCAGAGCTGCAGATTCGGAACATGAGACTGGAAGGACCTTGGAGGAGCATCTTATCCACCCCCTTGGTTTACAGATGTGAGAGCTGAGAGCAGAAGGGACCCCGTGAGGTCATCCAGCAAACAGGAGTAAACCGTGTCCTCAGCTGGGTTCACCAGGGTTTCCCATTCGTGCTCACCCATGGTGGGAATGAGCCCCAGCCTCTGGACCTTTGTGCCCTTTAGCCCCCAGAGGAGAGAGGAACCATGCACACCAGTGCCTCCTCCAAGTTGGTCGTTGGCTCCTTGGAAAACCACCCCAGGGAGAGGGTGAGACTGGAGCCAGCCATGACCTCCACCAGCCACCAGGTGTCACGTGGGCAAGCCTCTGGGGGAGGGACGTCCACACAGGGAATAAATTACTGCAAGGGAAGGAGGTAATATTTAGGACTTGTTCTGCATTTGAATATCATTTAAAGTGCAGAGCTGCAGAGTCGGAACATGAGACTGGAAGGACCTTGGAGGAGCATCTTATCCACCCCCTTGGTTTACAGATGTGGGAGCTGAGAGCAGAAGGGACCCCGTGAGGTCATCCAGCAAACAGGAGTAAACCGTGTCCTCAGCTGGGGTTCACCAGGGTTTCCCATTCGTGCTCACCCATGGTGGGAATGAACCCCAGCCTCTGGACCTTTGTGCCCTTTAGCCCCCAGAGGAGAGAGGAACCATGCACACCAGTGCCTCCTCCAAGTTGGTCGTTGGCTCCTTGGAAAACCACCCCAGGGAGAGGGTGAGACTGGAGCCAGCCATGACCTCCACCAGCCACCAGGTGTCACTGATGTGTCTGTCTGAGAGGCAGAGGCCAATCTGCGAACGCGCAGAGGCTTCTGGGAGATTTCCAGGCGCTCTGCCCTGTCTTCCCGGTTTCTCAGGGACTGCCTTCCTGGGGACTGGAAAGGACCGGGCCCTCCACACTGATAGAGAACAGATGACGGGGGCCGGGCCGGCACCACTTGACCCTTCACTGTGAACACTGTGTTCCCTGGGGCCTCAGGCCCCTGTTGAGGTTGGGCAAGTGACCCATCCACCCCCACGTGGGCCCAGCCTGGGGCTCTGACCCCACCTCTCCAACTGGCTGCTTCCTAGTTCTTCGGGCCATGCTTCTCCTTGGCTGTTCCTCTCTGAGCCCCAGCCCGCAGGGCGAGTGCCATGTGCACCCAGAGAAGGAGGAGGGACACCCAACTTGTCCCTGCCAGATGCAGGCCCTTGTGGGCATCCCGACCCTCCACCCCACCTCTTTCATTCCCTCCCTGCTGAATGTGGGCCAGCAGAGAGCCAGTCCAATGTCATGCTGGGGAACGGGGCTGTGGAGCAGCAGTTTTGGAAGAAGGGATCCTTGGCTGAGGAAACGGGTTTCTCAACCTCTTTGAGCCAGAGCTGCCCAAGTTGGAGGAGTCTCCAGCGGCACTTTCGAAACCTCACCTCTGGACTGCCCTGTCTTCTGCTTGCTTGGCCAGGACCAAGATGAGATGTCATGGGGTTTCTCAACCTCTTTGAGCCAGAGCTGCCCAAGTTGGAGGAGTCTCCAGCGGCACTTTCAAAACCTCACCTCTGGACTGCCCTGTCTTCTGCTTGCTTGGCCAGGACCAAGATGAGATGTCAGTCCTTGGCCCTGATTTACCCAGGAGTGACGGGTGGAGAAGAGAGAAGGGGCTATGAAGTCTTTAGACATACATCTGTGTTTCTGGAGGAAAGGGAGACCACAGAAGGCCAGAAGCTTGGGGGTGCAGTGGGTGTCTTTGAACTGGGTGGGCCCACATCAAGCCCTTGGAAGTCTTGCTCCAGAGGCTGCAGCAGAGTATACAGCTTTTCCCTGCCTCAGAAAGATGGAGTAAGAGAGGCAAAGCTGGAAGCAAGAAAGGGAGATAGAGAAAACGAAGGTGGGCACGGGCGCCTGGCCACCAGCCTTCAAGTGCAGTCAGAGGAGATCCAGCGGCAGAGTGAGGCCTAGATGATGACGGACTGCAGCAGGCGGAAGCACATCATGAGGTCCAGAGGGATGGGTGGCTTCAGGAAGTTCCCATCCAGCCGCAGGTAGCGCAGGTGGGGCACGTTCTCCAGATCCGAGGAGAAGTCATGGAAGGCGACTAGGTTGTTGGGGCAAATCTGGCTGCCATTGATTTCTATGAAGAAAGAAGGGGAGAATCAGCACAGAACGGGGTGGAGGCAAAGATGGGAGGACAATCAAGAGCAAAGACTCTGGAATTCTCCGCTGGATCTGGCTGACTTTGGGAATGTGTGACCATAGGTAAGTCGCCCTAACCTCCAGGCTCAGTCAGCTCATTTGTAAAATGAATTAAGTTGGAACTGATCAACAATTGCTATTGCAAATTCGTTCTGGAGAATAGGAAGTAAACTTTGAGCTGAGCCTTCAAAGATAGGATTACAACAGGTGGAGATCTAGGGGATGGTGCTCTGACAGAGGGACCTGTTTGAATGAAGTTGTACAGGCCAAAAGTCTGCTCATAGCAGCAGCTGGGTGTAGTAATAGTGCCATGTGATGTCCTAAGGAGAGCAAGCTGGTAAGTTGCAGCCACATGATGGTAGCTTTCAAGTGTTTCACTGAGGGTAAGGGCTTTGACCTCCGATCTGAGGAATGGCATTGAGCAGGATTGTCTTTAGGCAAGTGATGTTAAGGTATATGAACCGTGGCATCCTGGGGTGTTAAATCTGGAAGGGTCCTTAGAGATGCCAATGATCAGGTTTATACTGTAGAAAAATGAATCTAGCTGCAGTGTGGAGAAACGATAGAGCGAGTTGATATCTGAAGCCAGCAGGTTGATGTGAGAATTATTCTGGAGGTTCTCCTGTGAATTGGATGTGAGGCATAAGGATGGACAGAAGATGGTTATGTTAACTGAAATAGGGACGTCAGGAGGAGGAACGCGGGGCCACGGGGACATGATGAGCCTATTCATTCTGATGTGTCCATGGCCTGAGATTCTGTTTTCTTCTTCACCTCTTGTTAGATGACATCAGGCATGTCATCTTCTAAATGAATGTTTTACTCTCCCTAAGCCCTGCCTCGTTTGTCACCTATGGAGGAGATAGAGGAAAAGTCATCTCTGTGTCTTCTTCTTCCTCCCCCTCCTCTTCCTCTTCATCATTGGGAGAGCAGAAGAGCAGAAGGATGTTTTCTCCTTATGGGCTTTGTGACTTTGGGCTGTTGCCTTACCACCCTGGCACCCAGTTCCCCAGCCTGTGAAATGGTGGGCGTGGTGCCTGCCCCATACAACAGGGGAGACAATGTTGGTGAAGGCATTTTGCAAACCGTAAAAGACAGTACAGGTGGTGACATTACGATCCTTTCTAAGAACATCACCATCACACCGACAGAGGTCCTACTCAGCTCATTCTGTCTGTCAGTGACACAGGAGACAGGCTGGATGGGTGTGAGGCGTGATTTTTCTGACTGCAATCTCAGAAAGCTGGGATATCCCCCAGCAATCTGTTCTTCCACAATCTGGTAGAGACCTGTCAGCCATTTATTAATCGAGATATCTTTTCTGTCTATATTTTCAGCCTATACAGCTTCCTGGGGGTAATGTGTTCCACTTTGATGTGCTACCTGCAGGATAAAATTAGACAATTTTTCCCTTTTCCTGAATTTGTTTCTTGCAAGATTTTAAGAACCCTCCCCCACTTCTTGTAATTATTCTAGACAAATGAACCGGCCTGTTATCCTATCTATTTGTTTGAAGATTGTAGGAACTTCAACAATCTCCCTTTCATTCTTTGTCTTGGAAACTAAACATCCCCTAATATTGTTCTAGAGGCCCTTCTCTCTTCCCTTGCTTCCTTTCATCTCTTCAGCTGCTGCATTTCTTGTGTGAACGTACCTTGGTTTTGTTCAAGGCCAGATAATATTCTTTCCCTTGTTTCTAAACATTTCTCCTGATGCTCTGCTTAGAGCATTTTTTTTTTTTTTAAGAGCTGACATTTTTGATTGAAGCGAAACTGTGACTCCCAGCCTCGTCTTCTGGGCTGCAATTGATACCCCAAGCACAGGACCCTGTAAATGTAGCTTAGGTGAACTTTGACTTAAATGCACTGTCTTATACAACTGAACACTGCAACCTCCAGATAGATTCAGAAAGTACCAGTATATAGACATTTTTTTCTGGCTGCCACATTTTTACCAGTTGTATACCCCGAGTATGTAGCTGTCTTTCTGGCTATAGCTTTTATAGACTCTTCAAAACCTAGGCTCAGACTTGGGAAGCCTTAAATGCACTGTCTTATACAACTGAACACTGCAACCTCCAGATAGATTCAGAAAGTACCAGCATATAGACATTTTTTTCTGGCTGCCACATTTTTACCAGTTGTATACCCCGAGTATATAGCTGTCTTTCTGGCTATAGCTTTTATAGACTCTTCAAAACCTAGGCTCAGACTTGGGAAGAAGCATTCTTCTGTGGCTGTGTGCTTCTTTTTTTTTGTCCTTTTTGAGACCGGCCGCACCGCGCTCAGCCAGTGAGCGCTGTGAGCGCACTGGTCATCCCTATATAGGATCTGAACCCGCAGCGAGAGCACTGCTGCGCTCCCAGCGCTGCACTCTCCCGAGTGCGCCACCGGATCGGCCCTGTGGCTGTGTGCTTCTGCAGCAGGCAGGCCTAGAACATTTCAGGGTGGCCATCACGGGATGCGCCACGGGATCGGCCCTGTGGCTGTGTGCTTCTGCAGCAGGCAGGCCTAGAACATTTCAGGGTGGCCACTTAAATGTCTCTGTTCTGCTTTTAAGATAATGTCTAGGAGTATATTTCATGTCTACCGTACCTATAGATCCAAAGGCCAAAGAAGCTGGAGCCGATGAAAAGAGATGAAGGAAGAAAACCTATTACCCTCCAGGCATGGTATTCTGGGCACTTTATCTACATTAAACTATTAAATCCTCGTATCAACATTGTGCCAGAAGGTATTATTACCATTTGCATTTTACAAATGAGGAAACTACAGGAGGTCAAATAGTTAAATATCTTTTTAAGGTCACACAGATAGTTAGTGGTAAGGCCAAGGTTTTAAGTCCACTGCCAAAGTGGATGCTTTGTGCACTGCCCCACCCTGAGGCTCCTGAGAAAGGGTGGAGGCAGGAAGAGTCTCCAACGTCCCTTCCTGTGGCCCCGCCCCAGCCCCGGCCCCACTCACTCTCAATGCTGTTGTTGTTGAGGTACAGGTGCTCCAGCTTGCTGTTGATGGCAGGCACGTTGCTGATCCTGTTGTGGGACAGGTGGAGCACGAGCAGGTTGGAGATGTTAAAGGAATTCTTGGGGAGCCCCCTGTCTGACAGCTTGTTGTAGTTAAGCCGAATGAAGGCGAGGTTGGGGAAGCCCTTGAAGTACCCACTAGGGATGGTGTCGATGTTGTTGCTGTCCAGGTAGAGCTGGTGAATGGCCTTGGGGACTTTTGGTGGCATCTTTCTCAGGATGTTGTGGGCCAGGTTGAGCTGCATGAGGTTCTTGAGACCCTGGAAGGTGTCAGGCTTGAAGACGCCATCACTTAGCCTGTTGTGCTGCAGATCCAAGAGCAGCAGGTTCTGCAGCTTGCTGAAGACGCCGGCCGGGATTCTGGAGATCTTGTTCTGGCTCAGCCTCAGCTGCTCCAGGTTTGGGGGCAGGGCTGAGGGCACCTCTTCGAGCTCGTTCTTCTCCATGTAGAGGAAGATCAGGCTGGGAAGTTTCTCCAGTACCCTCTGGTCTATCTTGCGGATTCGGTTGTTGTCCAGGTTGATCCACCTCAGGCCCGTGGCATTCTTGAAGGACTCCACCGGGAGCTCAGAGATGAAGTTGTTCTGGAGATAGAGGTAATGGATGCGGGATGGGATGACAGGGACCTTGCGCAGGTTGCGGCTATCACAGTAGAGGGCAGACGGGAAATCAGGGGGGCAGTAGCATTCCCGGGGACAGTCAGGAAAGACAGATGGAGGGCCTGGAGGAAGGGGCGGAGGCAGGTCTGTAGGCTCTGATGGCTCATGGGGCTGAGGAAAGCTGGGCGTGGGCCTGGGCCTGGGTCTGCGCCTGGGTCCAGACCCGGGTCTTGGCCGTCGTGTTGGTTGGCCTTGGGCCACTGAGGCCAAGATGAGCAGAAGTGGGAGGAGCCAGCAGAGGGATGACCTCATGATCCAGGTGACACTCCTGCAGGGAGGAGATACAGGAGGTCATTAGCCTGCTGGGCTTTAGTAAGGAGATGCTGTGTCTTTGCAGCTGGAGTTAGCCAGGACCAGCTCCAGTGGAGATGGGCAGGGCTTGGGGGCCTGTTCGCCCACAGCCAGCAGGTGACGAGGTAACAAGGGCTTGAGGCTCCGGGTTCCATGCCCAGAGGTTGACACTCAAGGTGTTAAGCCCGCTCTGGAGAGGGTGAGCCATACTAGGAAAAAGCACATTGGATGGTGAATCAGGAGTCCTAGGACTTATTGGAGAAGACCATTAACCCCTCTGGCCCTCAGTCTCCCCATTTATAGCATGAGAAAATCCTGTCATTGTAAGAGGGATGTTAGGATATATGAGCCATAGAGTCCTGAGGCATTAAATCTGGAACAGTCCTTAGAGATTCAGCAACATGGTCGTTTTCAAACTATGCCTCTATTTCTGTGGAACCCTCCTGTAGGAGAGAGACCGAGGAGATGGCCCTGGGGTACCCCCAACCCACTCCTATGCCAACCTAGGCAGCTCTGTTTTTGCTTTTTTAAAAAATCTGTTATTTATATTGTGGGTTAGATAAAGCATTCATTTGAAAAAAAAAAAAAAGTGTCATTGCTGAAAATGGTTTGAATCCACCAATCAAGTCCAGGCCCCACTGTTTTCAAAAACTGAGGACTGGAGGGAAGAAATGGCTTGCCAAGGCCAGGAAGCTATTTCACAGCAGAGCCAGGACAAAAACCCAGGTCTCCTGCCTTGCAGAGTAGAGTCTCGGAGGTCCTGGGAAGGAGGGGACGTGCTGCAGACACCCTGCATCCACCCTGCTCGCCAGTGTCCCGGCCTCCCCTCTCCTTGCCCTCCGCACTTGGCTCTGAGAATGCTGGTCTTTGCCAGCGGGAGACATGCCAAGAATTTCTCCCCAGATGTGGAGGCTCCCGGGAAAATAAACAGGGAAAGGATAGAAAGATGTGGGGAAAACATTTCATTTCTTTTGACCCGGTATTGCCGCTCCCCGTATCCTTTGGAGTTGGCAGTCTTGAGGTAGGATATCAGGGAGAACTTCCTGCTGGCCTCGGTGGCACTGGAGTAGGGAGCAGAGGATGTTTTGAGGTTGCCCTTCCCTTTGGCCCTGATGACCCTTCAGACAGGACCATGTTGAATTGAAACGGGGGAAATAGCAATAGACCCAGGGCTGCAGACAGAAAGTGGCAGCTCCCACAGGCTTCCTCCCCTAGCCTGGGGTGGGAAGGGTCTATGCCCTGGACCTTCCCTACTCAGGGACATTATCCCTATGATGCCCTCGGGCCTTAAGCTAGGGTCCCCATTCCCACATTGCTTTAATCGGCCTTGCTTGCCTCTTCCTCACAATTGTGGTGGTCCACCCCCCTCCTCCCTGGGGTCTGGACACATTGGGGATGCAGGCTTCTTGGGGTTCTCTGAGATAGAGTGGGCTGGAGTGTGTCCCAGCTTGCACGTGGACCTGTGATCACTGCCTCCTATCCGGAGCCTGCTCTCTCCCACCTTCCCTTTGAGCCCACATCAGCTTAGATGCTTCCCTTGCTAGACCCGGGGCCTGGCTTCTTGCTGGCTTTGATGAAAGGGAGGCAACAGAAACCCCTCACCAGCTGCTGAGGCCTGGGCCAGATGCTCAGGAGGAGTTGAATGTGACAGGAAACAGGAAGGAGGGCAAAGCTCAGCCCCGGATGGGTGGAGGGAGTCTCACTGCAGCTCTCTCTCACACACACACACACACACACACACACACACACACACACACACACACACACACCCTTGACCCCCAGCCTGCATACCCTCACACATGGCCCCCCTCCCCCCCGTCACACACACACATAAGCAAATATGTTCACTTGTCATCTGTGTGTGTGTGTGTGTGTGT